AACAAGGTTGCAATTGCAAGAAAAAATGATTGATCCGAGCACTTTGTTTTCTTGGTTAGCTGAATTAAATATTTTGAGAAAAAATCATTCTGTAAAAAATGTAAAATTGATAGAAATTTAGTAGCACATCATAACATAGATGGTTTGATTTGAATGTGTAAATCAAAAAAATGTGGTAAAGGTAAGGGTTCAATTCGTGATGGCTCTATTTTCATTAAAATAAAAGCATCACTAAAAAAAATAATTTTTATAATCTTTGAATGGTCCAAAAAAACTCCGTAAATGGATTTATTTGAGCAATATGGTGTAAACTATAAACTTTATAAGACGGTTATATCACTAATAAGGAGTAAAATTACATCTGACAGTTCAGCTAAAATAGGAGGTCCTGGTTTAGTCATAGAGATTGATGAAAGTGCTGTGACTAAGCGAAAATATAATGTAGGAAGGTGTAATGAGCAATTGTGGGTGGTTGGTGGTCTTTGTAGAACCATAAGAAGATGCTTTTTTGAAGTTGTAGAAAAAAGAGATTCATTAACTCTTCAGAGAATTATCAATAAGCATGTAGAAGAACTTTCCATTATTATAACCGATGAATGGAAAGGATATAATGACATAAAATATCATGATTATGGGCATTTTACAATTAAACATAAAACTAACTTTAAAGACAAAAATGTACCAGAAATTCACACACAAAACATTGAAAATCAATGGAGATGGTTGAAACACTACCTAAAAAGTCGTGGTAGTAATATATAAAATAATATGAACGCACATATAAACGATTATTTATTTCTAAAAAAAGAAAATCCATTTTTAGACATTTTGTTTCGGATGAAAATTATGAAATGTCATTTTAAATTTAATTATATTTTTATTTCTTTCTAATATTAAATTTTAAGGGGCCCGAAAGCAATTTTTACCAAAATAAATTAAAGCACTTTCAACAAACCATTATAGAGTGTATGCTGATTTAATGAATAACTATGCTTATTGGTGATTTTTTAGCATCAAAAAAAGATGTTTCTAAAAAGCTCCAGAAAAAGAATGATGTTAAATATCTAGGAAGTCATTGTTAAGAACTATTAATAGCATTGATATGATAAAATTAAACACCAAGAATATAGTCATTTAAAAGTTAAGCATAAAATCATTCTAAGAAATATACATATACGGGATATTCCATCTAAAATATTATAAACCAAATAATATAGCAGAATATAGATACTAAACTCACTTTGGCTCCATAAAAAGTAATTTTCTAGACAATCATTTATTTCCAAAATCAGAAATGCTTTATATAGAAATTGCTACAGCCAAAAGACCATTACAATACTATTTTAAATTAAATATTATTTTTTTTGTTTTTTAATCTTTTACATCAAAAAAATTTATAATAGACATCCTCTATGATACAGAACACGTGTTTTTAGAATAAAAGAGAATTTTTTTTATATACCATGATTTTTTTAATTTTATTTATATTCAACCATTCCATAACAAAAAATAGTTCTAAAATACTATACAATATAACATTAAATAACCTAAATAGTACAAACTTTGAGAACATAGAAAAATATGACAAATTTGGTATGAAAAATTTACTCTATTGTTATAACAAATTATTAAATGAAAGTGATAAAGGTAGGAATGTACCTTATTATTTAAATTTACAATTAGTTTATTTGAAAGCAGTTAAAAATATTAGAAAAAATGTCAATTCTGGATGTAGTTTTGACTGTTTTGATAATCTATACGACAAAATGTTAGACGAGTTAACGATAAATGGATACAATAATCCACTTTATATACAAAAAGAAAGTCGTAGTTTCAATATAAATATAAATAAGAGAATAAAAGAAGAAATTAAAGAAGCAAAAAAAGAAAGGATGTTTAATAAAACCAATTTAGATATTAAGAGTACGAACTTCAATAACAATAATACAATATCTGATGATACAGACACTGCTAATAATACAATATCTGATGATACAGACACTACTAATAATACAATATCTGATGATACAGACACTGCTAATAAAAATACAGAGAGTAAAAGTATATTCGGGGATGTAAGTGATATAACAAAAGAAAGACATAAATACATAGAAAGTCTAGTAGATCAATTCCCAATTGAAGTTTGTAATTTGATTATTAGAGTAGCAAATAAAATTTGTAATGTCTTATCTAAAAAATAAAAAAACACAGTACTTGGATTTCCCAAGGGTGCCCCTCAGTACTGACCAAGCTCTTACTAGCTTAACTTCGGAGATCGGACGGGATCCGGTGTACCTAGCAGATATGACCGTGCAATTAATTATATTTTTAATTATTTATATTCTATAAAAATATTATTATAAGATAAAAATAAAATTATTAAAACTAAATTTTTTAGTAAAAAAATATATCATAAAAGAAATAATTATTTATATTATCTTACAATTATTTATATTCTATAAAAATATTAGAACTAAATTTTTTAATAAAAAATATATCTAAGGTATATATTCTACAAAATCACCTCTTATCTTTAAATAACCTCTCTTTTCTAAAACTTTTAGTCTTTTATCTTTACCTTCAACTAATAATTCATTAATTTTAATATATTTTCTTCTTTTTAATATATACATTATTTTGGCATCAATTGAATCTGAATTATCACTTTTTATTAAAACTTTCTTTGTATTTTTTTTGTTAAAAATAGGAATTAAATTATAAAACTGATTTAAATTTTTATTTTCTATAAATTCATTAATAAATATAGAAAGTGGATGAAAATGATTTAAGAGTACATTCAAGCTCTTATTATCATTTATAGATTTATTTATAGATTCTCTATTATTATTATCATTTATAGATTTATTTATAAATTCTTTATTTTTATTTGTATTGTGAATACAATGATAACTTAAAAATAATTTATAAATTCTTTTATAGTCATAAAAATCACCTTGTAAATTTAAATCTTTAGTTTTTATTTTTTTAATTCTAAATCTTATTTTTTTAATAAAATCATCCCAATTTTCAATAATTAAATTTAAAATATTAAATTGAATTAAAGTAATTCTTAGTTTAATATTATTAAAATAAATTAAACAATTACTAATCGTATCAATAAATCTTAATTTTTTATTATTTTTTATATTTTTTTTATCAAAATAATCAATTTTATAACTTTTTTGTATTTTTTTAATTTCATTTGGAATTTCAAAATTAATTTCTTCAAAGTTAATTGAATTACAAGAAGAGAGTACTGTAATTTCATAGTTTTCTATTATTTCTCTATTGTAATTAATAATTTGTTTACATCTTCTAAATGTAATATTATTAAATTTATTAATTAACCAATTTTCTTTATTTTTATCAATTCTATCAGAAATTAATCTATTAATTAAATTGAATCTATAATTTTCTTCAAAAAAATTTAAATTTTTAAAAGAATTAACTAAAAAATTCAAATCCAAATACTTATCACTCATACTATTTATGTTATTTATATTATTATTTATGTTATTTATATTATTTATGTTATTTATATTATTATTATTTATATTATCACTCATATTGATATCATCATTTATGTTACTTATATTATTTATATGGTTGTTGATATGATAATCATATAAATCTATAAAATTAGGTATAAAATTTATTATTATTTCTTCATTCTCTTGTAAAAGATCTTTTAATACTTTTCTACTCTCTTCAAATACTTTATAATTAAAAATATTATAAATATTAAATTTTTGTTTAGAATAGTATTCTCTATAAACTTCAGTTAGGTTAAATTCTGCTGTTTTATAAAATCTTCTAAATAAATCTTCTTCTTCTGTGTTTATGTAATCATTTGAATTTATTTTTTTTAAATAAAAATTTAAAAATTCTTTTTCAATTTCTATAAATTGAATTCCTGGTTTTCTATATTTATTTAAAATTTCATCAATTGTTTGTAAATTCTTATACTTATTATTTATATTAATTTCTCTTGTATTATCATCATTTTCTATTGTATTTGTAGTATTAATTCCTTTTGTATTTGTAGTATTCGCTTCTGTTCTTTCAATTCTCTCATAATACAATCTTTTTAAATAAATTATACTTCTTTCTTTAAACACAGAAAATACACTTGTGTTTAACTTTGGATTCTTTTGTAATACTTTGAATATCTCTGCTAAATTTTTAGTTTTTAAATTCACTCCTTGAAATGTTGTTTTGTTATTTGTTAAAAAGTTTCTAAAAATTGATTTCATTCTTTGTGATATTTTCTTTCTAGACATTTTTATAAAAACTGGGGAAATCACTCTTTTTAACTTATAAGTTGTTTTTTTATAGTTCTTGTAAATTCTTGGTAGATTTTCTACTTCTATTTTGCCTTCTAAAGATTCTTTTAGTTGACTTAAAAGATCATCTATGAATGTTTTATAAGTTTTAAGTAGTATTGATTTGTTAAGATTCTTTTGTATAAGGATAGGTTCCATTGTTAAACATTCATGTTTCATTTAGGGTCTTTAAATTCTCTTTTATTTTATTTTATTTTTTTTAAATTCTTGGATTTATGCATTATTTTTTTAAAAATTTATTTTATTTTATAAATTCTTGGATTTATGCATTATTTTTTTAAAATTTATTTTTTTTTTAAATTCTCTTTTATTTTATTTTTTTTTAATTTATAGTTCTTTTGTTCATGCATAATTTTTTTAAATTCTCTTTTTTTTAATTTATAGCTCTTTTGTTCATGCATAATTTTTTTAAATTCTCTTTTTTTTAATTTATAGCTCTTTTGTTCATGCATAATTTTTTTAAATTTTTTTTTAAATTCTCTTTTTTAATTTATAACTCTTTTGTTTATGCATAATTTTTTTAAAAATTTATTTTTTTTAATTAATTAATATTTTTTAATTTATTTATTAAATAAAATAATTGAACCCATCAATGCAAACAGAAAACCAACAAATTGAAATACTAATATCAAATTTCAACTACGATGAACTCTTAAACATGGTTAAGTCTTCACCAGAACCACAACACAACTCTGATAAACTAATAAAAATACTACTACAAAGTCTTTTTGAAGAACAAAATTTAAAAAAGTCATCAAAAGATGAAATTTTAGAATTTTTAAAAAAACTAAAAAAATATTTAAAAAAGCATAAAAGAAAATTTATTTGTAATGAAGTTAAAATAAAAATTTGTGAATTGTTAATGCTTAATAAGAACTATAGGAAATGTTTAAGAGTCACTAAAAAATTAGTAAAAAAATTAAAGAAGATTGATGATAAAATAAAGTTAATAACTTTGTATGTAATTGAAAGTAAGGTTTATTATTCTATTAAAAACAGTTCAAAAGCTAAAAGTGCATTGACAAGTGCGAGAGCATTAGCACTAGGTTTGTATAATCCTAAGATTATGTCAGAGATAGATATGAGGAGTGGTATGTACTCTTGTGATGATAGAAGCTATTTGGCTGCAACTGCCTACTTTTTAGAAGCTCTAGACATCTCAAAAGACTATAAAAATAATGAATATTTGAAATGTTTGAGTTACTTAATTTTATGTAAAATTATTTTAAAAAAATTTGAAGAAATTAATGGAATTTTTGAAAATAAAAATTATAGAATTTGCATAAATGAAAAAATAATAGAATTTATGATGAAAATTAAAAAATCTTGTGAAAATAAAAATCTTAAAAGTTTTAATGAACTTTTAAGTGAGAATTATGAAATTTTAGATGACTTTTTAAAGAAACATTTAGAGTATTTATACGACTTAACCTTAAATGCTAACATTTTAAAAATAGTCAAACCTTATTCACAACTTAAGATACAATTTATCGCAGATAAACTAAACTTTGATAAAAGCTTAGTAGAGAATAAGCTTAGGTTATTAATATTAGATGGTAAAATTCATGGAAATATAGATCAAAGCATGGAAGCTTTAATTATTAGTGAAAATGTCAAAGATGAAAATATTGTTGAAGCTAGACAGGTGGATAAATTGTTAGAATTTACAGAAAATTTGTAAAAAAATTATTAAAAGTGTTTTTTTTAGATTCAATTTTGAAAATAAAATTGTTTTTTAAAAAAGCTTTAATATTGAAATTGTTTTATAAAATTGAATATAAATTTATATAATTTTTTTAAAAAATTTATCTTTTTATGATTCTCTGAAAAACAAATACTATAAAAAGAATGAATTTATATAATTGATAAAGTTTTATTGGATGTTTTATAATAAATGTTTGTTATTTTATTTTTTTTTATAATTTTTAGATATTTTGTGAAAAAAATTATAGGATTTAGAAAATTATATTTAATAATTAATTAAAGGTATTTTATTTGTTAATGTAGCTTAAAACTATTTTTATTGATTTTAAATATTTAGACTTGAATTCTTCTATTGTATTATTCCATAATTCGTTAGTTTACATATCTGATATAATCAGTGATTTTATGTACTTTTTCAATTTACTTTTACTAATAGTTCAAAAAAATAACATCTATAGGTTTAGATATTGTGATCTTATGAAAAAGCTTATTTCCCCTATTTCATTTTTTTAAGTTGTTTTTTGACTTTAGACACGTGACAAAAGTATTGTCTTATTGAAAAATAAATCTGCTAGATTAGCCTTTATCAATGCATTTTTAATATTAAGATAGTATAATTTGAAATGTTCTGGACATGGTTTCCTAGGCCTTTTAATACATACATTCCCGTATATTAATTTCTCTTCAAAAGTATGGTTTGTTTAGATTAAATCGTTTTGGGTTTTAAACCTCTTATTATTTTATTCATAACAACTCCTTTCTATCACATTCACATAGTAGGAATCTAAATTTATCCCCATATAACATTGTTTCATTAATATCTAGTCTTTACTCCCTTAATGGTTCCCGTATTGATTGATTAATCTAGATAAATAATGTTTAGTACTGGAGCTTATTTAATGTTTTTCTTATAGTATTTGTAAAAACATTGACTGATATAAATTTTAACACCTATTTTGATGACAAAAGTGAATTTTTTAAACGGTCCTTAATAAAATCTTTATAGATATACGAAAAAAGAGTTTCTTCTACTAGAATTCGGTATTCTTTCGATAATTCCTATTTATAACTTTTTGAGATGATATCTAGATTTTAGATTAAAAAACGCTGTCTTTTCGTTGCTATTACTAATAATGTTATTATTTCTCTAACTTTAATCTTAAAACAGAATATTTTATTTCTTGTAACTAGTGCTTATCCAATATAAGAGGGGATTTTTATATAAACTTATACTAATATAGAATGAGAATTCAATTTATAGAAATTTTGTATAAAACAAATATGTATTATATGATATTCAATAAACTCTTTTTAGTTATTTTAATCTTGGAAGCTTTTTTTTTAGAATACCTAACTTCACTTTCAATAGTGTAATAATAGAAAGAAAATTTTAAAATTTATATTTACTAAATTTTAGATTGGTTTCAACAAAGCTTAAGTTTATCAAAACATCTATTTATCTAATATTTGTAAAACTTTTAGCTTTTTACATCTTAAGAAAAAAGATCTCCTTTTTGTAAATAAATATGACTTTAGTTGAAATAAAGCGTAAAATGATTTTCAATAAATATTCTAATATTTAAATAATATGGAGGTTCTGGTGAAAAACAAGTTGTAAACTAATTTCCAAATTCCATGCTATTTAGGGAAGGTTGATCAAAAATATAACGTTACTAAAAATATATAAATGAGTGTTGATTGTTTATTGACTAGAGCCTATTTTTTTATATTTAATAAGAAAGGCTAATAGATTCAATATTGTAAGATGTTTTCTTATTTTATTAAGAGTTTTTATAACAATTTATCACTTTTAACAAACAGAGTAAAAACACGTGTTAACAAAATTTAAAAGAATTTATTTTTGTATCCATGATTTCTTTCTTTAATTATATGATTAACTTTTTAATTGGTTATAACAAAGCGCATGTTTTTTCGAGAATTAAAGATATGAATTCGACGCTAGAGTTAAAACAAAAAGATTTCAGCAAAGTGAAGAAAAGCTTGTGGCCGATCTAAACATTAAGATGAAGTTTCTAAAAAAAGCATTAGACAATTACGAACTGAAAGAGCGACTTGGGAATAGAAGTGATGATATAATTTCTTTATATGATGAATATATTTTGTATTTAAGACTGAATATGTTTAGAGATGATTTATCTAGCTTCAAAAAGAGGTTATATGTATTAGTTCGAAAAATTAATAGTATGAAAGTTGATGAAGTCATTAAGAGTCTATCCGCTTTAAAAAATTCAATGAAATTTCATTTATATACGGATCATATAAAAGAAGATGGTACAATAAGGAATGTTTTATATGATTTGAAGCAATTAAATGATGCATTGAGTATTAACATGTGTGATTATTGTAACAAGCATTTTACAGATGATACATTCAAGGTAATATTTTCGTGTAAACATAAATTCCATGCCAAGCCATGTATTTTAAATTTTAATCCTCTTTATTTTTCTACAGAAAATCCAGAAATTGAGTGTATAATTTGTAAGAATGATAAAATAGTGTCAAATGCCGTAAACTTAATATCACCAACAGGGTACATAGTGATGTTGAGCAATATATTGACGATATAGATATTATCCAGCATTTAACCCGCCTTTCACCTTCATCAAATACTTTAAGGAGATCATTACATATAATATCTATGATTATAATTATTTAGGCCAACCATTATATGGATTTACTATTCATTTGGACTATAACGTTTATTTATTAGGTAGTTTAATCGTAGAAAATAAGCTAAGTCTTACTATTTGTGATAAATTAATGACATCTTTTTTCCAGAAACAAAAACAATAAAATGTATTATTGAAAGAACAATGAAATCGATTGTGGATTACTCAGATTCAACGGATGCTGATGTTGACCCACCTTTTAACATTAAAGAGCTCGACGGTCATAATATGGTAAGATTAAATGCGATAAAAGTTTCAGATAAACAGCAAATCAAGTATAAAAAAAATATATAAGAGCTTACAAGGATGGTGTAGAACATTATAAAAACTATTTAAATGGAAAAACAGAATATTATCCACTTAAAAATCTATTTTCAAGAGTATTTAATGCAAAGAGATCGACCTTTTGATTTTTTAATAATTGTCGGGATATCAGTAAATTTATATTATTTTTAAATTAAAGTGGTATTTCTCATTTATACTAAATATCTATTTAAGTTTTTTTTATGAAATTGAACAATGACTTATAATTTTTATTAGCTCAAAAAAATAATCGGTTTATATGTTAAACAACTAAACAGAAAACTTTAAACTATATTTTTGTTGAAAATAGCTTTAAATTGACTTTTTTGATTTTTTATTCATAAAACTTTTCTTAATTCGTCAGAATTGCGGGGCTAAACTAATAAAAAAATAGGTCAAAGTCGTGAAATTTATAGCAAACATTTATAATTTTCCCACATTTTATAAAAAGCCTATTAAATGAATTGATAATAAACAAATATTTGAAATAAGCACCAAATTAAGGCATTAGAGATGAAATGAGGGGTTCACTAAAGTTCAAGGTTATTGCAGAACAGTATTCATTGTTTATTTATAGTTTGCAATATATAAACTTAATTTAAGTTAGAAATAGTGATAATCCTAAAATAGAATTTTTTTAATATTAAATAAAGAATTTTATGTTTCCAAGAGTTTCGAAATAGAAATAATAGAAATGCTATTATTATACTCAATATATCCTAATAATTAAAGAGCGCTTTTAATTTATATATACAGTCAGATTATTGTTGTTACTTTTTGGTAACATTTTTTAGTTCCTTAAAATCACTCTATTTTATCATAAGTTTAGTTTTATATTAACTAAGACCATCAAAGGTGATTAAAAGTAACTTATTTATATAGAGGATGTATTTAACCAATAGGATATTGATTTAATAAAATCAACAAAAGGCACGAATAAAATCTAAAACTATTAAAAACTACATTAAATTACATTTTCCATTAATAATTTTAATTAATTAGAAGATTAAATCAATTACTATTAATTTCATGCGACTCTGAAATTATTCGTTCATTTTCTTTATTCAAACCAGACTTTATAACTTCGGTTTCTGGCTGTTTTTCATCATTTCGCTTAGTACTATTACAAGCTTCATCTTCTTTTAGTGTTTCATACTTATTATTAGTGTAATACTTCGTAACTACTTCACCGTTTTCTTTGAACTCCCTATTAAAGTCCTCTAGCAATGGTTTGGTTTCTTCACTATTGTTAATTCCTTCTTCTAGATCTTCCTTTTGGTAATCATCATCACTAGAGCTACTATCTTGGTCTGTTTGCTTAGAAGTTCTTGATATATCTTTATCATCTGAAGATAGCTCTGTAGAATCAACTGTATTAGATGAATATTCATCTTCGGAAGAGGGATTTATATCAACCTCCAATGAACTTAAAATCTCCTTTCCTATAGAATTTTTAGGTTCTTCGTTGAATATGGAATTACAATGGAAGTTCCGAATAACAATCTTACCTAACCTTAAATTTTTGACATGAATTGATTTAGAAGATTCATCAAACATCGAGTCATTTTCTGATCTCAATTTAGACTTATTTTGCATAGTTTCTTTTAGTTTTCTAGTTTTTTTTTTAGAATCAATACTATCATCTTTTCTTTGTAAATGGTTTTCATTTAAAATCCATGGTTTATTATGAACAAAAGTATCTGGATCTGAAAGTTTGCTATCTAAATAATAAATAAAATTCTCTAACTCAGCATATTGTTCCTTTTTAAGCATATTTAGCGTATCTTCTATTGCGGTAATTAAGAAACATTGTTTAATGATTATCTCTTCCTTTTCTAGGCTATTTGGGTTCAAAAACACTTTTTTATCATAACTCATAAACTTTTCAATTAATTCCTGAGGATTAATTGAGGTATCCTCAACAAGTTGACTTCTTTCAATCAATTGTTCGCCTAGACTTTGTATTTTCTTATTAATTAAACTGTGAAGCGACACTTCTACAGAGTCAGCTGAGAATACAGTGCTTAATAGATTAAACATGATTAGCATGGGCTGCTATAAGTTTCTATACTTTATACTTTTTCTGTAAAAGGACAATTTTGATTTTTATATCTCATCAAAATATACTTCAATCTTATAAATATTTGTTTAAAAAATAATTATTCTATTTTCAATTTAGCTAAATTACTAGAAACACTATTTAAATTAAAATATTATGTTATACATTTTTTGGCTGGAGTACCAATCTGTTCTACCCATTGGTGTGTGTCAAAAAAAAAAATTTAACCCTTGTAAAATGAATAATTTTTTGAATAATGAAACATTAAAAACCTTATTAAAGAGTTTATTGTCCCAAAATTCCCCAAGATATTGTGAATTATGTAATGGTAGTGTATCTATTACACTAAAAAACAACCTTAACTTTACATATAAGTGTAAAACACGCTCATGTAGGAAGGAAAATGGTGTATTTAAAAATACTATTTTTTATAGAACAAATTACCTGCTGTTTTTTAAAGTAATATGGTTATGGTTGCGTAATTATAACATAGATCAAATCATAGAGATATCAGGTTCAAATAAAAAAACCATACATAAATTTATTAAGTTATTTCTACCTAAAATGGAAAAATTTTATCTAAAAGCATTTGGGAAGATTGGAGGTGAAGGTGTTGTAATTGAAGCTGACGAATCTAAATTTGGGAGAACTAAGTACAATGTAGGTAGGACTGTAGAAGGTGTATGGGTGGTTGGTTTAGTAGAAAAAACGGAGCAAAGAAAAATCATACTAGTTCCAGTAGTTAAAAGGGACAGTATCACTATGAACACAATATTTGATGCATATGTCAAATCAGGATCTGTTGTAAATACTGATCTTTGGAAAGGATACAGTAACATCAAAGAAAATTACAAACATTATACTGTTAATCATAAGCAGAACTATAAAGATCCTATAACAGGAGCTCACACAAACACAATTGAGGGGAATTGGAGGGCTATTAAAACTGAAGTACCTAATCATTGTAGAAAATTCACTGAGATTTTACCATACTTATCAAAGTTTATGATAAAAAGATGGTTTTCAGACAATTATTTCGAGGTTTTATTAAAATTTTTGATTTGTTAATTGTTTTTTTGTAAAAATAAACAAGGGTTAAATTTTTTTTTTTGACACACACCAATGGGTAGAACAGATTGGTACTTTAGCCCATTTTTTTGATAAATTATTCCCATTTGGTGGTTACACGTCAGTTTTTACTTATTTGACAAAAGACAAAAGTTTATAAGAAATAGTTATTGAATAATTTCCACTGAAACATTTATATCATAAAATTTACTTAAAAAATACAAGTTGAAAATAAATTCTATAACCAAAGAGAATTAAAAATTAGTGAAGTATTTAGTTTTAAATACTATCTTATTTAAAATATAAGTATATCTCTTGCTTAACTGAATTAATGGCTAGACTAGCAATTTATGATAATATAACATAAATTTATAACAAGTTATAGCTTAAATTTAATTATGAATAGAAAATTAATAAAGGTTGACTTTGTGTCTTCTTTATATTATTTAATGTAGGGTCGAACAATACACCCCTCAAAGAATAAACGCGCCCTAGTTTTCTTATTAATTTACTACAAAAAAAACATTTTTTATTATTTTTGAACTCTTTTTTGTTATTTTGGTAACGACAAATAAACACCCCTACCAAAATAGCACAAATCGCTTAGGGTGGGGATAAGTAAATCAATAGGATTTTTGATTTTTTTGTCAAAAAACAATGAACAAACGCCTCTACCAAATTACTACAAAAAATTCCTAATAATTAAATATAAAATTTTTCCTTAAATATTTTTAATTATTAATCAATAAATTTGTCAGGTAATCTTAAAAAATTACCTTATTTAAAAGTATTATATCAATACATTTTTCAATTCTTAAAACTATAACAATTTTAATTTATTATATTTTTTTGTACATTTGTGATATATCATATATTTAATTGTTTGATACGATCTTTATAGTAAAAATATGTTTTAAAATTTTTGACATTTTTTTGTCCCATGCCAAAAATTCCTAATATTAATACTTCTACCGAAAAAGATCAATTAATTGCTTATTTAAGAAATACGATATACCTAATGGTCTTAGTAAATACCAAAAACGTACATTTAAAACCAAAGCACAACAGTTTTTAATAAAAAACAATGAGTTATATTTAAAGAAAGGGCCAGAAATCAGAAAGTATATAAGCAGCTATGATGAAGAAGGAAGAAACACTATAATCTAACAATTTAATTTACCACGCCATGCTTGTTCTAGAAAAATAAAGCAGAATATAGAAGCCCACTATATTAATATTACAGAGTCTTATATAAAAAATTATATTTCATCATGTGAATGATGTCAGAAGTAGTCCCTATATCTAGTATGCGCCAATTAGACCTATAGTCGTATATAGTGTGTATGAAAGATTACAAGCTGATATAATCGATTTATCTAGATATGCAGAGCTTAATGAAGGATATAAGTACATACTTAGTTTGATAGATTGTTTCTCAAAATACGTATTCAGCTAAAAATTAAAAAATAAACAAGCTTCAACAGTATACAATATTTTTGCAAATATATTCAGAATTGAAGGACCATGGATTATACTACATACGGATAATGGTCGTGAGTTTATAAATAATAATATGCATGATTATGTAGTAAATATAATATATCTCACATAACAGGTAGACCCAACATCCTCAATACCAGGGAGTAATAGAGAGGCTTAATAGAACCCTAAACTGAGGTTAAGGAAAGGATTAGAAGGAACAGAAAAATGGATTAACTTACATGATGATATTGTTTATCAATATAATAATACAATACATAGCGCTACAACCTTCAAACCTTCGTGTTGTTCAGAGGAAAAGATCCAAACAATGTTAATTTGACAGATGGATGCTCTATAGTTAGCAAGAGATAGATCATAAATTATGTAGACGATACACTGAAGAACATAATAGACGAATTAGAGATAATAGAGAATTAAATATAGTAGATAAATGTATTCTTGGAAAGGATTTGTACAATATTAATACAAGACGTCATCCTTTAGTTTTATTATATTATAGTGAAATTTATACAGTTATTGATACTCTAATAACAATTTCACTATTAAAGATGAATTAGAAAATCAAAAAATCGTAGACATAATAAGTCATATTAAAAATATTTATTGAAAAATTTTATATTAAATTAGTAGGAATTTTTTGTGGTAATTTGGTAGAGGCGTTTATTCGTTAATGTTTGACAAAAAAATCAAAAATCCTATTAATTTACTTATCCCGCCCTAAGCGATTTGTGCTATTTTGGTAGGGGCGTTTATTCGTCCTTACCAAAATAACAAAAAAGGGTTCAAAAATAATTAAAAAAAATTTTTTTTGTGGTAAATTAATAGGAAAACTAGGGGTGTTTATTCGTTGAGGGGTGTGTTATTCGTTCTAACACAAATTATAATTTAAATTTCAATTATGAACAGAAAATTAATAAAGATTAGCTTTGTCTCTTCTTTATATTATTTAATGTCTAGTAATTATTAAATATGTTTATAATATGAGTTATATGTTGAATTTATAAAAATTACTCATATCTTCTTTTTATAAGACAAAAATTGTAATAAATAAAATATTATAAACATTTTTACTCCTTTTCAAGTTATCAATGTTATATAACTCAAAGGAAAGTCTATTCGTTAATTACTTCCCTAAAGAAATATAAATGAAATAACTAAAACCTTTAATATAAATAAAAATTGTTTAATCTAAACAACATCACCACTTATGTTCTCATTTAATAGCTTCACTTTATTAAAAACATCATTCATAATAGATTCTAGATAATTGGAATAACCATTATTAGCGATGTTTTCATCGTCTTCTATTCCTTTTTTAATGTATAGATTTCTTAAGCCATCACCTCCACCGTTTTAGCTGCAAATTTATCAGAGTCAGAATATAACAATGAAATAATATAAAATTTAATAGGAAAAAACAATTTAAACGCAATGTTAAACATTAAACATATATAAATCATGTTTTTTGTTATACTAGTGAAATCGTAATAAATCATGAGATCAAACATATTTCCAAATAGCCAATAAACAGCGCAATTAATAAATTAAATACTGAATAAAGAATATCGATAATAAAATTATACCCTGAATTAATAAAGTTAATACCAAATAAAATGATTCCGTTATGGTCTTCCATTTCCTCAGAATTTTTAATTAATATTACTTTTTTACTAATAGTTCTGAAGGTAGTGAAAGTAGAAAATTCCGTAGGTGATTCATAAACTTCTATAGATCCTAACATATCTCTTGTTTTTTTATTAATTTTTAAATCAATATTTTTAACAGCCACATCGGGATTTCCAAAGAAAATGTCATATATTGGATAAAAAATGCAAATAGTAGAAATAACTGCAAGAACATATATATTCATAATAAATACATAAATGAATAGAAAAAAGAACCAAAATAAGGCATAAAAAAGAAAAAATATTATTAAATTGCCACCTATAGTGTTTAGTATATTAAAAAAGGTTGTAAAACAAAATATAGGAGCAACTAAACTATAAAAAATAAGAAGTATAATTATAGTACTGCTTTTATGACTAAGTTTGGATTCTAAAAATGTTTGTATTTTATCAAAATAATTATATTTTAGAACCGCTATCTCCATTAGAAATGACAAAAAATGAAGAAAGATATAAGTTACTTTTTGAAGCTTCCTTTTAAATAAATCTGTCTTTATCTTCTCTTCTGATATGTCTGTATCTTTATAAATGTTTATTGCTTCTTTTTTATTAATTGTAAGAATATCATAAAGATAGATACAAACTCTAACTGTAAAATTAAAGTATATCATGTAATGTAGTAAATCTTTCATTGGGGTAGACTCAATCACACTTTTATGAATACCTCCTTTTTTTATATTCAAAAAAAGCATAAATTAATACTATAACCAATTTTTGACTTTTTCTAAAAAAAATTGTATTTAACTGATTTCCATTTTAGTTTTTATAATATTCCATTTTTGAAAAAAATCTCGAAAAATACGCCTATAGCCAATTTTAGATTCTTTCCAAAAGTGTAATATTAATAATAAAAAAATCATGAGCACCCGCCATTCTGAATAAATAAATAAACAACTTTGTTAAAAATTAATA